GACCTGGGCCCACCTGCAGCCAGAGCAGGGCTCCGGTTTGATACCCACTGATGCACTGCTTTGGCCCAGAGCTGTCTGTCAGTGTGGCCGGGCACCGCGGCAGGCCTGCCCGGGGGAGCGATGCCACTCTCAGTGCAAACGCGGAGCAAAGGAGAGGAGGTGAGTGTGTGTTTTAGCCAGTGGCCAGCGGTTGGGAGCTTATGAAAGGAGAGCCCTTGGGAAGGAAGTTCTCGTGCCCAGGAGTAGTTCTGAGAGAAAGATCTGGAATTTTAGGTGGATTAGAAAGTCTTTTTTTTTTTTTTTTTCATGGGAGGGGGGAGAGAAACATCAATGATGAGAATCATTGATCGGCTGCCTCCTGCACCCCCCACTGGGGATGGAGCCTACAACCCGGGCATGTGCCCTGACCGGGAATTGAATCCTGACCTCTTGGTTCATAGGTCGATGCTCAACCACTGAGCCACACCGGCCGGGCTTTAAAAATAAGTAGATGTGCCTCTACCAGGGCTTGCCGAAGCCCTCGCCTGCGCACTGGTCATCGGAGGCGGGAGCGGCCGCTCTGAGACTGTCTGTGAACAGACGCCCGTGCCAGCCCCGCTCCTGCTGCTCACACCCCGGGCCCGGGCGCCGGGACCTGCTCGGTACCTTGATCACCTTGAAGCTGAGGAAGCTCCGGTGCAGCATGATGACCTTGTACTCGGCGGCGCCCTCGTCCACCACGTGCCGCAGGGTGAGCAGCTCCGCCCTGTTGGCGAGCACCGCCCCCCGCCAGGCCGGGTCGCCCTCGTGGCAGATGACCACCGTCCGCTCGAAGGACCGGATGGCCTCGAAGAGGACCGCGGGGTCCTCGTACTCGTCGGGGCAGGTGAACTGGTCCTGGGGGGAGGGCGGGGCCGAGGCTGGGGGACGCGGCCAGGACCCTCGCGGCTGGTCCACTCCCAGGCCTCACCCCTGCTCTTTGGACCCTGAGCTGGACAGAGGATGCCTCGTCCCACCATCCCAATCGCTGGACCTGTCCGGGGAAGAGCTGCGTGGATCACATTCCCAGGACTTCCCAGGACCGTGGGGCGCCTCTGGTTGGTCCCTTTCTCTAGCCAACCCCCCCCCCATCCTCATCAGCATCCCCACCCCTAACTGCTCTGCAGGGCAACCTGCGCTGGCCGGTCAGGAGCATGCGGGCTGCCTCGGTGCTCTGTCCCCGAGTCACAAACCCCCTTGTGAACGTCGAGAGAGGAAGGGGACCGTGTTCTCAGAGCGGAATTCCTCTTGTACAGCTTCAGGCTGGTCCTTATAAAGGAGGGTGCTGACCTGGTGGAGCTTGAGGGCCATCCTGATGGCCGGGGCCACCACCTTCTGCAGCAGGTCCATGTCGGCGAACACCCACTCGTCCCGGGCGGCGACCCTGAAGTCGCCCTTGAAGAGGGCGTGGAGGCCGTGCAGGAAGGAGTCCAGGCTGCAAGACAGGGTTTCTCAGGGAGTGTCCGTCAGAGCTGCGTCACGGTCAAGTCAGGATGTGTCCCAGCAAGCGAAGCAGAGCTGTGCCTACACTGGGCTGCCGTGCACGGCTAACCTGAGAGTCAGTGTTCCAAGTGACCTGGTATTTTTTCCAAAGATTTTCTCATGGGTTTTGAGAGAGAGAGGAAGGGAGAGGGAGAGAGTGAGAGAAACCTCGATGTGAGAGTGAAACCCATTGCCTGCCTCCTGCACACCCCACACGGGGGGACTGGAGGGGGGATAGAGCCTGCAACCCGGGCACGTGCCCTGACCAGGAAACGAACCAGCCACCCTTCAGTGCAAGGACGACGCTCAACCACCTGAGCCGCACCGGCCAGGGCCGCCATCTGTCGTTCTTTAACATTAAATATGTGAGAATCACTTGTTAGGTTGCATGGGTACACCTAAGGGCACACTTCTGACTTTAAAATTACACAAGGATGGAGTACACACGTACACACACACACACACACACACACACACACACACCATGAGCCCCTCATGCTTTCAACATAACTATAAACATTAGCAAACTGAATCCATTGTTACAGAAAAAATAATGTATCATGACCACGTACAGCTTATCTCAGAATGGTAAGGATGTGGAAAACGATTAAACATTTCACTCATAGATTTAAGGAGAAGAATACCACCGGAATGTATGCCCCAGATTTTGAAAGACTTCACATTCTTTCCCGATAATATCATGAGAATAGTTCCTAAAGATCAGTATCTAACAAAAATGGGGAGAGCATAGAAGCAGGCAATTCACGGGGAAAAAAATGTGATTGACCAATAAACATGTAGGCAGTCTTAAACCCTCGCTGGCAATAATGGAGATACAAACGAAGGAAGAGGGAGATAGAGGATCTTACCCATGAGACTAGGAAAACGAACGTTAGTGAGGCTGCCAACACAACACCCTTGGAGAGCGTCCAACCTGGGGCAGCCTTTTGGGGACCACTTTCGCTGGGTCTCTTAAAATGACGCTTAGAAATCGTTTGAGCGCCAGAATCAATCCTTTGCAAGCGCCCCCATGTATTGAACTCTAGCATATGAAATGCAGGGCACAGCTGTTGGGTAGAAGCAGAGGTGGGGCTCCAGCCTCCCTCACACGGTGGGCCTCCCGCCCCCACGATCTACCCAAGAAATCAGAACCTCGTGGATCCGAACACTGGCCTGGGGCAACGTGCACAATCAGTTACCTCCTGCAAGTCATTGCTGCACTGAGAATGCGGGGCAGGGCTCACAGGGGTGGGCCCCCCGGAAAGCGAGCCTCCCCCCAAACCACTGCATCGCTCCCAGACTGATCTCATCGCCGCCTTTGGAACGCTGAGGGGCTGTCACAGAGGATTAGGAGCTGTTTGAAACCCAGGAAATCCCATCAAAACCAAGCTCGGAAAGCAGCTGGAACGCATGGTGCTTAATCAGGGAAAATAAATAAAGCCGGGCAGGCGAGGAACACCTGGTCAGGGACCTCGGCGGAAGCTACGCCAAAAGCCGGCCCGAGGAAGCCTTGGGAAAGCGCTCCGCTCAGCCCGCCAGAGCGAACCTCTGCGGCCTTTGGTTTGCAAATTGTACAGGAAATTGAAATTTCTAGAAACCTGCGAATGGAGTGACGTGCGGATCACGGCCGGGGTGCTGTGACTCGAGCCGTGAGCCCTGTGCACGGAAGGTCAAGGGCTCCCCTGTGAGTCAGAGATCAGACCTGGGTGACAGGGTGAGAGGCTGGGAGGGTCAGGGGAGCTTCGTTTTGCTTTTTGTTCTTTAAGAAGAGAAACGGGGCTGTTTTCACGCAGAGAGAGCAGGGCCCGTGGAAAGAGAGTTTGAACAAGCAGCAGGGGCCTCCATTTGGCAAGGCCGTCAGCCAGGCAGAGCAGGGTGCAGACGGGAGAGACGGCGGGAGGAAAGGACGTTTACTGAGCAGGG